TTCACAGTCAGAGACGTTACCACCGAACTATCCGAGCCGCAACCGACCTTCTGTAGGACTGAGATGTAATCACAATTGATTGATCACTGGATGGCAACCAATGTCATGTGTGTCTGGTCCTTATTAGTGCAGATCAAATGCTATCGATCATGTTGCAATGTGGCCACCAGTCTAGGTGACTCGACACTGCGGGCACTATATTATTGAGATTATATATATGATAGTGATTTTGAATTTGAGGCCTATTTTAACCATGAATAGTTCATACTCACACACATACATACACTCACATATATGTAGATGACAGATAACTTAATGTGATAAACTATAATATGAGGTCAGTCAAATTAATTAATTAGTACATTATTATAAAATTTAAAATGAGTGAAAACAAGAATTAATTATCATTTGATAAAACAAACAAAATCAAACACCATCTTTGTTTATTTATTTGTTTGTTTATTTATTTTTTTGGAAAAAAGAAAACACAACTTTGGCCATAATCCAAAATTACTACTGAAATTATATCACTTTCATTGATTATAAACTTTATAATGTTCAATTAAATACGTTTTGAATTCTAGAAAGAAAAAAATACATCTACTCTATTCACACAAAGAATTAACAGTAATTTTGTTTGATTAAATAAAGCACATAAAACTCATTTTAACAATATTCTGTTAAAATGAGTGAAATGATTTCTTTGGAATGATGTTTGTTTAAAAAAAAAACTACCAGCTAACTTCATATTTCATTATTCAACAAAAAAAACTGACATTATCTACATATGACCAATTGAAAATGAACACAAACACATTCTCTATAAGAGATGGTTTGTTTTCTTTTCTTTTTTTTCTTTAGAAAAACAATATTTACTGTATTTCAGCTATTATTGATTTCGCATAGTCAACTCATTGTTTAGGCGGTGTATATGTATGTATATATAGTTGAGATTACGAATCAGTCGAAGCTAGACCACCATAGAAAACCTGGAAGCACTGGACAACCGTTTCGTCCTATTGTGGGACTCTTCAGCAGTGAGCATTCACGATTCCGATCCGCGAGATTCGAATCCAGGCCGTATCGATCTCGCGTGTGAACGCTTAACCATTAGACCACTGAGCCGACCGGCATCCAATGGTGTTAATGTCTAACTTCAACCAATCCACCGAGATTGAGCCACCGTCCACCATTGTCTTCAGTGAGCTGATATCTCACAACAGACCTGGTTGAACTCCACTGGTCACGGTTTCACACTAGAACTCCAGAAAATGCATTTTGAAGTCAGTCACTAGTGCGGGAGATTGACTGATAGTTTTAATAACCTATATGGCAGTTGAGAGATTGTCTAGTATGAAATTGGATAGTTTATCAGACAGATTGACTTCAACCAAAGAAATTAGTTAAGGCCAGATGGGTGTTTTGTTTTAGAATATGAGCTTATAGCAGGATGTACCTACAACCTCACTAAGAATCATGTCATAGACCATTAGGCCATTCAACCGAAGCTTGAACTTTACACCAATTAGGTACCATTTAATGGTTCACAATTTTAGCTTCATTCTAATCATTATGTTGCGTGATCGTCTTATTATATATAATCTATTTGGATTACGTTACTCATGGCTTTGCAATAAGATTCTTGAAATTATTTTTGAAGGTAGCTATCAATGAGCAAATGTTTATTATCAGAGTAGATGTCTCTATAGAATATTGGTCCTAAAAATAGTTCTGGAATCATGGATTTCGACTCAGAGACTTAATAGTAACATCTAAAGTACTTGAGTTCAATCTTTAGTGAGGTAGAACGTGCTCACCATTGAAGAGTTCAAAACTTGTATAAAACAGCTGATTAATACTTATGGTTTCCAATAGTACTTCAGTTGTCATCGTTCTCTGAACAAATTATCTATGAATTGAACTGATCCGCATCACTTATACAACTAAATTATATATTTTTCGTTTACCTCACGGACCTGTTTTTTACAAAACAACCGATGAATAGATGGATAGCCTTTCATGGGGTTGTGACTACATATTAATGAATAGTCTCGTGGTTGTTTGACTGAATCACATTCATCATATAGACTACAACATTCAGTAATTTCTACAACTTCCACATAAATAATAATGTCAGCGCACTCCTTTGATTCTCAACTTAAAAATAAAATAAAATATACGTCATTTGAGAGTATTTACTTTGAATTTTATTTTAGTCACTTAGTATAAAGACAATTGGAAAATCCATGCCAGTAAATGTAGTAAAGCTGTTTCATATTTATCTAGAAGTTGACAAACTTATGTAATGATAAGTAAATAAAGGTCACTGGACACTTTTGAATCAATATAAACTAACATGAGTTAGATTTTAAATAAAAGGTGAGATATTAAAGCAAACAAGATAGTTACAAGGCACGTAACTTCAGATAAACTAATTATTGGTATTATCAGTATTATCATCAGTATTGTTATCATTATTTTTGTAACCAAGGTAATTACGATTATCAGTTGACCAGTCATCGACCATATGAAGCATAAGTACTTTTAAAAGTGGCTTCAGCCAATTTGCGCCTTAAAAATGTCAATAGTTAAATACTAAAATGAAAATTTTCAAAAACTAGATTTCGTTTGCCAAATTGAACAAATTAAAAAATAAACAAGATTTCGAAAACTGACAAGGTTTTTTATCACTTGAAAATGGCCTACAGTTGCAATAATTAGAAGTTAGTATAAAGAGTTTGACATAATTTATCAATGAGATTAAAGCGGTTGTTTGAAATGACACAAAAAGACCAAAATAATAGAGAGAAGATATGAAATGTGACATCGAAAATTGTAGTTGGGGTTTATACATATTTATATATTGAAAAACTATTTATGAAAAGGAAACACATCTACTATAATCACTTCCAGCTGTGTTTCGAAACTAGCTTTACGTCGGAAAGCAAGCATTTAAAAATAACCTCTATGTAGTTTTCTGAATATGTTCTTACAGTATGTATTCCTGAAAGGAATCTGCATTAACATATGAGATCGTTAAATTCTTAATAGATTATGACCACAAAGTGTATATCCCCGCAGTTCTCAAAATATTCAACAAACAAAGAACATCCAATGTAACTAGATTTAAATAGGAAAGCTCCAGTTAATTAAGCATTTAACTTCATAATTACTCAATTAATCCGAACAAAATTATCCAAAATAAATGAAATGAATTTCAGCATAATATTTATCAGTTAACAATTTACTTGAAAGAAAGCTTACAACACAACCAAATACTAGTCAGTTCATGTTTCTTTTCATATAATTAGAACAGATTATTTTGACTAATCGCTCTTAAACAGTAATCAGTAGGGTTGAGTCTCCGTCAAAAAATATCGGTGACTATTTTGTGAAGCGGTTCGATTATTGTCATGAGTTATAACTAATACAATGTACAATTATTATAATGTAAACTTTAATGGCTGTTTGTATACTGATTGACTGCCAAGCAGTGCTTATTGTTGCTTTTGTTCGGTCCCTTGGCGTTAGTCGATCCCTGATAATCAGTTCCTAACGAAGCTATGAGGATAAGTCAGTGAATATTATGGTGCGTTGATTTGGTCTCAGGTAGTTGGAAGCAGTTGATAAGAATACCTCAATTAGGCTTCGTGCTAGTTCGGCTCATCAGTAAGACATATCTGTAGTCTGGCAAACATTAGAATTCGTCCAACACTCATTAAATTCGACATCAGTTGATACTAAGTCAATAGTTAGTGTAAACATCCCAATCTTGCAGGAACTCTTCAACATCCGTAACATATCCAACCATGACTCTATATAACTCAATTTTTAATCGCCTGAGACTATTTTCCAAGGACAGTTATTATAAATCGTTTAGTTCTGAATTTATTTTGACCTTTAGCTTTTATTTAGTACAGGTTATTACAATAATTAAACCCTGTTGAAGAGTGTCAGATAGCGAAACACTTATACCTCAGATTTCCTGCAGATCAGTAATTTTGAATACTTTATAACCTTGCAACAAAACTAGTAATAAACGTTGCAATATTTAATTGAAATCGTGAATCGATAAATGTCAGACCACCACTGAAAACCTGAAAGCACTGGATGGTTGTTTCGTCCTAGTATGGGTCTCCTCAGCAGTGCGCATCCACGATCAGGCACGCGGGATTCGATATAAACCAGAAGATCAATAGCTGAATCTCTTATGATTTAACTGTTGATTTACTTCTGTGTCTTGAACTTGTAAAAGTGAAAATTGTACAATAAATGAATTTTACTTATGAAAAAACATACTCATCCTTTATTATTGATATATGACCAGTGTTTATTGGTATATTTTCAACAATACTGACTTTAATGCACTGATTATAGTAGTAACTGGAATAAATTATTCATAACCTCTTACACTGAGATTTTAGTTTAAATTTAGTTAATCACTTCATGAAAATGATTTGTTCAAATTAAGACATTTCTTTAGTTACTGATATTGATTAGTAAGTAGTATGTTTACCGAACTACCACAAGTCCATTGTGTGTTTCATTGTTACTTTTTTTATTTCGAAGATAAACAAAATGGATGAAAATATAGCTATTACAGAACTTTCATTATTGTTATTACTTAGGATTACAATTAACATTTGAAAACCCATTCTCATCTATAAAGCAAAAGAAAATGGGTCTTAATATCTTACTCAATGCAAATTTGCGTAATTTTACACAAATCGCCAAAGTGCATCACAAGGGAAGCCCTAACTTGGAATCCTGAAGAGAAGCAGAAAAGAGCAAGGCCAAAGAATACATTAAGTCGGGAAATAGAAGCAGATATGAAAAAGATGAATAGCAACTGGAAAGGATTGCCCAAGACATGATTGAATGGCGAGTGCTAGTGGGCGGCCTATGCTCCTCTACGAGGAGTAACAGGCGTAAGTAAGTAAGCTATGCATATTTTGTTAAATAAATAAATAAACAAAATAGAACATCTAAGATTTACTTACCGTTATAATATAATTCACTTGTAACATATAAATACAATAATAGAGATAATATCCAAGTTGGTATAAACATTATATATTAGATGTATTACTGTTTATAGATATATGGATACATTTAACTAATTGCATCATTGTGAAATGCAAACTTGTATTATTCATAGAAAATGATTAATGTAGAATGCATTTTATAGTTAATAATTTTCTGTTGAATTTATTCATATACATTAGTAGTACAAATTTACCTCAAGTGAAAACTTTAATCAGAAAGAAAATTAATCACTAAGTTACTGTTTGTCTTTCATGAGTATTATCAAAAAGGAAAAAGAATGATCTACTACTACTACTACTACTACTACTACTACTACTACTACTACTACTACTACTACTGTGAATTTTGTTTAAACTTGGTAAACTTCAAATTTTATTTACCGCCAAAGATATCGATTCAGTCAATCGGTAATATATTATGATATATAATTGCTTGTTTCAACATTTAGAAAAAGAGAAACTCGATTCGTTTTTTTTTGTTTTGTTATGTTTTGAAAGGTAACGGTATCAAGATATTTCCATGCCTCGTTCTTTAATGTTTATGAAGTGATTTCAATTATGGTATGTTTTATTAGACAGAAATTATTCTTAATTGAAATCTAAAAATAACAACCAGTAGATGAGTAGGTTACATTGTGTGAGTTGTATGGTGATTATACCTATATATATAAGATTGATTATGTACACGTGAAGTAATTTGTGTTTATAAGGCACCAGCCTTCATGCACATATAGTTATTAACACGTATACAGACAAGTAAACTACACATTGATGCATAACACCAATAGGATTGATTTATAGATAAATATATTCACATGACAAAGTAATTTTGAGAATAGTGTGTGGAAAGGGTAATACACAGAGTTACATGTGTGTCATTATCACTATATTTAAAAAAGAATGCTATTTTATTATAAATGTCTGTGAATATGACCAGAAACAGTGACCAAGAAAACTAGTGATAGTAAAAGTGGAATTTACAGATTTGTGCACATTTTATTAACTAGATCTTATTTTGAAAGTTTTGTTAGGATGTTGATTTACTACAATAGACAATCGATTGTAAGCCTGTGATCTCCAATGAGTGCTGGTGCTAAAGAGAGTCTATGATATCCAGTAAAATTCAATCCTAGATACCCGACCGTAATTACTATACTGAAATAAAAATGATCATAGATTCCAGCGTCTTAATAAAGCAGTACTGACAAAGGTGTTTGCCGTCTGATCATGCTAAGCAGGGGAACTTGATAGTTTTCAAACTATTGGTAAAAACTACCAGATATCAGGATGAAACTATATAGAGGACGGTTAATTACTGTTAGATGTCTCATATATATAATATCACATTCAGATTATTTGAATGATTTACCTATTAGTTATCCGACCGAATAAACTTTTAATAAGTCGAAACTACTATACACATATTTGTATTACTTACGTATGATGGTAGAGCTAATTGAATATTACTGTTATATGTAGAATACTAGATAAAGATAGAGGAAATTTATTTGTCAAGATTTAAACTTGCCTGAATACTGAATATCTGATATAGCAGATGGTGACAACATGGGTTGGAAATCTTTAAACACAATCGGGTCAGCTATATTTTTTTTGTCTGATTGTTTATAGTGTATTTTAACAGGTTACTTATTTACACAACAATGAATTCTAGAGATTTAATGGGTAAACTCCTTCGACATGCCGCATCACATTGCTGTACTTATCAATAACGGCATTTAAACCCTCTTTAACTGATTTAATTGATTATCATTCAGTTTAAAGCAATCATCTAGATGACAGTTATTGATATATAGTGTATTTGGAGAGTTGTTAAAGCGAGTTAAAACTGTATTGTGTTTTAACTGTTTCATCTAATGTCTACGTTATTTATTCGTCTGTTGGACTTTGCGTGCATCATAAAGCTTAGGTTAGGTTTTCTATTTTAGCTTCAGACAGTAATGGGCTGTTGGTGCTTAATGACTTTATTTATCTTTAAAAAGTAAGCGATCGACTGAAATGTAATTTCTGTCAACATAAACTACCTTCAGGATTATTAACCATATGAATGAATGCTATAATAATTGAACTAACTATTACTACTATACTTTACGGCAGTAGTATGAGTTAAGGTTATTAGTATGTTACACAAATCCTTTCATTTAGAATACAAGGTTCTATTAAGTCTCAGAGCGCTACTATTTTGATTTGTTCAAGATGAACTATTGAAAGCTACTACTTCAAAGGAGCAAACACTAAAATGGATTCATTTCTATCCACTATGTTTCACTGTATATCCATATCATTTTGGAAGTTAACTCGCCAATACATCTAACCAAAACCATTCAATTAACCAAATTTACTTAAAACTGATTATTTTGTTAAAATTCATTTAAAATGGGTTTATAAGACAGCTTACAGATTAAAAAAGGTGCTCACTTATATCTATTACAAATCAAATACTGTCTAATAATGTTTTTGTGAGACAGGACTTGGTGACAAATAAGTATTTGGTTTATAAAATACAGTAATGCTAAGGTCGGTGGCTAGATAGATTTTTCTGCAATTTTCTCTCAGACTTTCAGAGTTAAATACGATAATATGAAATTTTTGGATGAGAAACCGATGAAAGACACTTTCATTGATCCACGATTATTAAGTTAGAATTGTTGTATACTAACCACTGTCTCAGTTTTATAATAGCTTTAGGATACCTTGATCAATGTAAATTCCCTAATCATAATCACTTCATGAAAATGAACTTCTAATGGAATTTAAAATTAATTTTAGATTAGAAGGTTCGTTGTGACTGCTTAACTAGACGATAATCTCATCACGCACCAACAAGAAATATGGAATATTGAACATCATCTGTATCATATTTTTGAAGTCCACAGTGTAACCCGTCAACTACTTCAAAAGGCATCCAACTGAAAAGTTTTATGTTTTATAACAAAGATCAACAACTTTAAATCATTAAGCTAAATTTCAATAGTTTATATTTCCAACTAGAAATACTCCATGATGCTGTTAGACAATTGCCTAATGTGATTGATGAAACACTATTTTGTTATTGAAATTGTAGTGAACGGAACACGGGTAGGTACAATCGAAAGTAGTCAACGCGAAATTACAGAGCATCTCAATAAAATCTGAGAACCATATATTAAATCGATAATTTGCAAAATGTCCACCAGTTGTCTCAAAATGCCTCAGACTTCATTGTCCTTGCATTTTCATACAAATTAAATTCTATTCCCACTCTTGCTTTCTTGATCTTCCCCCATCTTCTGTTGCCAGACATTACATTTCTGACTTGCATAATATACTACTTATATCAATATAAGTAGCACGCACCACAAAATGTTTGAAATTCATCCATCATAGATAATTACTAAAACTTAAGGAGTTCATTTTAGATTTATCATTAGTTAGGACACAGTTGTTATTAAGATAAAGAATAACAAGTTGTACGAATCAGCAATGCAGTACATTTTAATGTGAATCTTTATTCACTTGATTTTAGTCTTCAGTAAAAACGATTTTCAGCGATTACAATTATTTTTTAAAAGAAATCCACCGATGACATATTTTAAAGGACTTTTCAATGGTCATCCCTAAAACTTATTACATTCAATAAATATTATAATTAAATTGATAATATGTGATCAAATTATTGATCATTTATTTTTTACTCTTCACTATTGGAAAGTAAACCAATTTTCAAGCAAATCTAACTAACATTTTATATGAATGTAAATGAATTATCGATTACTAGGTACTTTTTGTTGTTGTAAATTTTGTGTAACACAGTAAAGGATAAACTAAACTCAAGTATACCCTTCTGACCACAAGACTGAATATATATATATATATATATGGAGAGAGAGAGAGAGAAAAAACGATTTGGGTAGTAAACTAAGTTTAAGTAAAATATAAAACAGGTTTTCGAAAAAAAAGTAGAATAGATGAAATTTTTGTTTTGTTTAGTATTTTCTTTCTATTATTGAACCATTAAACTGTTTTGAAAATCGTTTTCTCTCTCTCTCTATCTTTCTTATTACCAAATGCCCCGATACGACTGAGAGTGGGGAGAGTCAAATCTTCCTCTCGAAATGCTCTCAATTGGCTACATGCATACAGCCACTGCCAGGGAAGTCCTACTTTCTACCTTCTCGTGGCGCGGGTATTTACGGAATTGAAAGGACGAAATGCGAATGCCCGGCGCTTTAATCAGGTCAATGAACACGGAGAATCCATCTAAGGCAGTTGGAAAACCCTGATTGCAAACCAATGGGCTTCAGTATCCTGAGGGAAGAAACAGAGTATGAACCTATTATCAGTCACCGGCTACCATGGAACTGCATCTCATGACGTTGCTCTACTGCTTTGTGGATTAGACCTTTAGGTCAAAGGCTCCGTGTTTGGCCCCCTAAGAAAACCACCTGCTTTGGATTTTGGCACCCGGGCAGTATCTTAGCCTTCACACAAATCAAGTGATTTATATGGCAAATATCTATTTGGTACCTTCTTGTACCTATGTTTATGTGTTTAAATAAATAAATAAATTACTACCAACTAAATTAATTTTGATGTCGGCAAAAGTAATTAAATTTTACTCATTTTAAACAAATAAACTTCAATTAAATTTAAAGCATTTCATTAAATCTGAGAAAGAAAGAAAATTTACTGATGGTTTGCAAATTTTGAAATAGTACAGCAAATGTTGAAATGAAATAAAAAATAAAATCAACCAGTAGCAGTGATGAATTTATTCGATGAACTAGAAGATTTTTGAAGAAATAGTTAATGAGCATGAGAGATGTAAACTGTTGAGGAATGTATCATTGAACAAACTCAAAATGATCATTACCTACTACATAAAGTACATGTTTAATACGTGTGATATATATATATATATATATATATGGTAGACGACTGACATGGTTGATATATATGGAATAAGCAATTGGTATGTGTCATACCTTTGCCATAAGCACAATCTATGGTTATATTGACAAAAGAAAA